GCGCCTGTATTATCCATACAAGAGTCCTCGCGCAAATGAGGCTCGAAGATAGGATAATACCGCGTTGCATAACACTGACAGGTTTTAACAATGCAATGGAACGAACCTCTGGGGAGGTATTATTGCCGATTTTAGCAGGAGGAGTTACGCTGGAAACCACTTTCCATGTCATGAACCAAGAAACAGCCTACAACGCCATCATAGGACGCCCGTGGATACACGCCATGCGAGCAGTCCCCTCAAGCTTCTACCAAGTGATCAAGTTCCCCACCCCTTGGGGAATATTTAGCATTCGGGGCGAGCCGCGCAACGCGCATGAGTGCTACCGAATCGCTTAAGACTACTTACACACCAAGCAGTTGAAAGGAGCAAGTGTGGAAGCATAGCAATCAGCCGTGTCGGGGACAAAGGTCGACCCGACAATGGAAGCCATCAAAGATCCGGACATCGTAGAAGCCTGCAAAGCAACGGTCGAGGATCTCAACCCAGTACAACTGGACAGCACCGACCACTCAAAAAAAGCCTACATCGGACACAGCCTCTGCGACCCAAGTAAGTACCATGAATTTTTAACTAACCACGCCGATCTATTTGCTTTTTCTCATTCAGATATGCCGGGGATACCAAGAGACATTGCCACCCACAAACTGAACGTCGACCCACTATATCCACCCGTGCGGCAAGTTAGTAGAAAGTTCAATGCCGCAATCAACGAGGCTGTCAGCGAAGAGGTAGATAAGCTACTGGCCAACGGGTCCATAAGTGAATCAAAATATCCCCAATGGGTCGCCAATGTAGTCATGGTCAAAAAGAAAAACGGGAAGTGGAGGATGTGCGTAGATTTCATAGACCTTAACAAGGCATGCCCGAAGGACTCGTTCCCGTTACCTCACATCGACCAGTTGATCGACGCCACAGCAGGACATGAGCTGCTAAGCTTCCTAGATGCCTACTCCGGCTACAACCAGATTATGATGGCCGAGGAGGACCAAGAAAAGACAACTTTCATCACCCACCAAGGAACGTATTGCTACAAGGTGATGCCCTTCGGACTCAAAAACGCAGGGGCGACGTATCAGAGGCTAGTTACCAGAATGTTCAAGGAATAGCTTGGCAAGACCATGGAGGTCTATATCGACGATATGCTGGTAAAGTTGGCAAACAAAGAAGACCACCTCGACCTTCTGAAAGAAGCCTTTGAGATACTACGACAGTACGGGATGAAATTAAACCCAGAAAAATGCGCCTTCGGCGTAGCATCAGGAAAGTTCTTGGGTTTCCTCGTATCACAACGAGGTATCAAAGTCAATCCTGACCAGATCAAGGCGATAGACGCAATACCCGAGACCTTGCACAGTAAAAAACAGGTACAAAAGCTGACAAGACGAATAGCCGCCCTATCCAGGTTTATCTCGCGATCCTCCGACAGGTGCCATAAATTTTTTAACGTATTGAGAAAAGATCACGGACTGCAATGGAACGAGGAATGCGCCGAGGCTTTAAAAAAATTGAAAGAATACCTGTCTTCGCCACCATTGCTAGTTAAAGCAAACCCTAGCGAACCCTTGCTAGTATACCTGGCAGTGTCCGAAGTCGCCGTCAGCGCAGTCCTGGCCCGTGAAAACAAAGGTACGCAGTCTCCTATTTACTATATCAGCAAAACCCTAGTGGACGCCGAAATACGTTATCCACACCTTGAGAAGTTGGCTCTGGCACTGGTCGTAGCTTCACGAAAGCTTAGACCCTACTTTCAGTGTCATCCTATAAAAGATATAACGACCTTCCCCCTGAGAAGCATCCTACACAAGCCCGAGTTATCGGGCAGGCTCGCCAGATGGGCCATAGAGCTCAGCGAGCATGACATATCCTATCACCCGAGAAATGCCATCAAGTCGCAGGTACTTGCAGATTTTGTCGCCGATTTCAGTACAGAGATTCTGCCGGAAGCAGAACTAGAGGCCATTCGTGCCACTCCTAGTACCGACCTCTGGACCCTCTACACTGACGGCGCTTCCAACGCCTCGGGATCGGGACTGGGACTCGTACTCGAGGTCCCCACGGGCGAAATAATTCGTCAGTCCATACGATGCCCCGAGATGACTTACAACGAGGCCGAGTACGAGGCTGTGATTGCAGGTATGAAGTTGGCCATCAAGTACGGAGCTCGACGACTCATCCTCCGTTGTGATTCTCAACTCATGGTACACCAGGTCGCCGGGACTTACCAGATCAAGGAACAAAGACTGCAGAAATATCAATCAGAAATTCACAAGTTGATGCCCGAGTTCGACGAATGCCGCCTGGAACAAATCCCGAGGGTGCAGAACGTCGAAGCAGACGGCCTAGCCAAATTGGCTGCAGCCACCAAAAACATCAACAAGGGAAATATAGTCACCCTCCTCCATTCAGCCATAGATCACACTGAGGTACTCTCTTTAATTCTAACTTGGGACTGGCACAACCAGTTTATCTCCTATCTGCAGGACGGGACACTCCCGCTCGACAAGAAAGCATCCAAAAAGCTCCGCGTACAAGCCGCCCGATACTGCCTAATAAGTCACGATCTGTACAAAAGAACGTTTGGCGGACCCCTCGCTAAGTGCTTGGGGCCACACCAAACAAGGTAAGTACTCGAAGAGGTACACGAGGGCCACTGTGGCGCACATACCGGCAATCGCGCTCTCGTCCGTTGCATCATCCGAGCCGGGTACTACTGGCCCACAATGAAAAAGGAGGCAGCGGAGTATGTTCGTAGGTGCGAGCAGTGCCAAAAGTACGCCCCCATGATACATCAACCGGGAGAGCCCCTACACTCAGTAACATCACCTTGACCCTTCATCAAATGGGGGATGGACATAATCGGTCCCCTGCCAGCAGGATGAGGAAAGGTACGATTTCTGTTAGTTTTGACTGACTATTTCTCCAAGTGGGTAGAAGCAGGTGCGTACGCCCAAATACGCGAACAAGAAGTCATCGCCTTCATATGGAAAAACATCATATGCCGCTTCGGCATCCCCAAAGAAATCAGCTGCGATAACGGCCCCCAATTCATCGGCAAAAAGATAACGGAGTTCTTTGACAAATGGCACATCAAACGGATACTCTCCACGCCATATCACCCCGCCGCCAACGGCTAAGCAGAATCCTCCAACAAAACAATATTGAACATACTGAAGAAGAAACTCGAAGAAGCCAAAGGGCTCTGGCCCGAATTACTACCAGAGGTACTGTGGGCATACCAGACAACGCCCAAATCCAGCACAGGAGAAACACCGTACTCACTGGTCTACGGAACCGACGCGGTTATACCAGTCGAAATCGGAGAACCAAGCCTGAGATATTCACATACCAGCGGAGCAGACAACGACATGGGTAGGCTTCAAGACCTCGACGAGGCAGAAGAACGAAGGGATATGGCCCACATAAGAATGACGACACAAAAGCAACAGGTCGAAAGGTATTACAACAGAAAAGCTAAAATACGACCGCTCAAAGTAGGCAACTACGTCCTCAAAGCCAAAACTTTGGCGTCAAAAGACCCAAGCGAAGGGAAACTGGGCACCAATTGGAGCGGGCCATATAAAATCACAAGCATAATACATATTTCTAGGTCTAATTATATTCGATTACGATTTACCTTTGATTTATTTTGATTGTTTTCGCTTACAAAGTAATTAGTATCTTTTGAGCAAAACACTATCTCCATCTTCAAGAATAATTATTCTTAAGGGTAAAATGGAAAAATATAATTTATTTTGTCTTAAATTTCTTAAATGACAAATAATTTGAGACAATTATTTTTAGAAAGCACGACAGATAATTTAAGATGGAGGGAGTATAAATATCTATTCTTTTCCTTCCTTGGATCTGCAACTAACTTAACAGAACCAGGTAGCTTCCTACACAATACAAGTTGTCATTATGCTACTAGTATTAAAATAAAGCCTTTATTTATTCCAAAATACTAAAGCACCCATTAATAATTCAACTGCTCATATCAAATGACCTGCTAAAGCAATAAATAAGTTTAAAGAGTAGATAAGATCTATTCGTGATTAGGTCATGTAATATTAGATTAGCCATATTAATTCTTCATGATTATACTTTGGGTCCCTTTAATTAATTAAACATAGCGAGACATGTGATAAAGAATTTAGATTGACCTTTCTTTCTTTTTTCTTCTGCAAAATTTGGTAATATAATAAATCTGCAAAGGTGACCTTCAACTATTTTAGGCCATTTTATTAATTATAGATAGAAATATGGGGAAAAAATCATATTTTTTTCAATATATTTAAAAAAATCTTCTCAACAGATAATTGAAACCAAAAATAAATAAGAAAGATTAAACATTTTTTTACAAACTTAATTTATAAATTATGCAGAAATCTTTTCTAATCCTTTAAACATAGTATTATTTTACAATGAGATCTTTTTTTCATTCCCTCCAATCAAATGACCAACAAAGTTCTAACTGTGTGTATCAAATATCAGTAGAGGCAAAATTATGATTTAAATTTCATAAGTTCTAACTGATAAGATTTTTAGTATTGAACTAATGTACTCTTAAAATTACAGGATAAATATATTAATATTTCTTAAAATATTAATAATTTTTTACATATAAATTTATGTTATATGTGAAAATAATAGCATTGTCAATGTATTGCATCCGCCCCGGGTATCTATGAAAGATATATCTTCTTTTTATCGAGCCTCGACAAATCTGAATTCATGTCGCGTAAGCTCATTAAGAAAGGAAAAATATATTCTACTATTAGTCAGGATTAAAGCTAGAAGCTCGAATACGAGTTCGGCAAACCTACTAGCTTCTGCTCAAACAATTTATTTGTATTAAATAAGAACAAATATTGAATCTAGAATTATCACTTGAAGTCGTCGTTTTGAAATTTAAAACCCATAATGCTAAAATCTTGGCTCCGCCATTACTTAAAATAGAAATTTATAAAGAGAAAATACATAGAAAGTGCCATGGTAGAGGAGCCAATTCCAGCTAAAGCTAGCCTTCTTAGTCCCTTTTTGCTCTATGAACTCATTTCTCTTCTTCCTAAAGTTAGCCTCTCTTCTCTTATTATTTTTCTCAAACTGCACTAAATTCTCCCTACATAGAAACATAAATACTCCATAGAAATAGGTAAAGAAAAAAGTGTATCAAATGAGAGAATGTATTGAAAGTGATGATTTGATATTAATATCTCACCTTCCCAAAACCATACCTTTACTTCAATCCAACTCTTCTTCTTTGGTCTCTTCCTCTCTAATCTACTAATCTACCAAACCCCATTATAAAGAATTTTACACACCAAACTTTTCTTGCTTTTTTTTTTTCTCTCATTAAAATCCCACCAAAAAAATCCATTGGTTTCTTGAAAATGACTGAAATTATACAAACCCCATCTCAGTTTCCTTCATGTTCAAGCTCCATTACTAGTATACCATGTTTAGATAATGATGGGTCTTACCAAGAGAGTGTAATTAGTGGACCCAATGTAGATGTATACAATACAGAGGTACAAGAAGGAGGTATTTTTGGTAGAAAAATTAGAGAGAGAAAGAGAAGAGAAAGAGAAGAGGGAGATCAGCTGTCTCTTTTAACATTATTGGTTACTGGTTTTAGGAAATCTTTGGTTGCTTGTAGTAGCAATTTTGATATTCTTAGTGTTGAAGAGCAACAGCTTTCTTCTTCTTTTTCTTCTTCAATGGAGATTAGTTGGCCTAGTAATGTTAGACATGTAGCTCATGTTACTTTTGATCGTTTTAATGGCTTTCTTGGACTTCCTGTTGAGTTTGAACCTGATGTTCCCAGAAGACCTCCTAGTGCCAGGTTTGTTTTTTAATTTTTTCCCCTCAAAAAAGAGAATTTTTTCTCTTAAAACTGCAGATTATTATTTATTTATTGGTTTCCCGTTCGGGAGGAAGCCTTGACGTAACTGGTAAAGTTGTTGCCACGCGACCAGCAAGTCACGGGTTTAAGCCGCGGAAACAACCTCTGGCAGAGATGCAGGGTAACGCTTACCTGCATATAATAGATCCTTGTGGTCCCGCCCTACTACGGACCCGTGCATAGTGGGAGCTTAGTGTACCGGAATGCTCTTTTTTTCCCAAAAATTTTCTTAACGGGATTAAAATTTGAACAGTGGCACTAAATGATTCTATTTGTGCAAATCGCCTGTGTGCGATACCTATACTGGAGCCCCACTAAATCCAACTTCATGCCAGGAAGTCTCAAGTTGGGGGTAAAGCGCTCCCTAACAAAGGCAATTTTATACCTAGGACTCGAACCAGAGACCTCTCGTTAAAGATGAAAGTACTTACCACTCCACCACAATCCTTGTTGGTTCTTAACCTGCAGATTAATATGTTCTTTTTTTAAAAAATTAATTGTTTCCTTATTTTGTTTATAGTGGGGTTTTGTTCTAAAAATCATTCCTTGCCTAAGATGTCTTTTGTGTTACTTTTTTATTATTATTATTATTACTATTGTGGTTTTCCCTTGTATCTGTTTTAAATTTTTTGTTTTCTAATGGCATTTAATATTATAGTTTTTATATGTCTCATTCATTTTTCAAATAGTAAAATGGGATTTTGAGAGGGTTTTTTGGCTTTTTAGATATATTATTACTTGTGTAGGTTCCATTAGAAAAGAAAAACAATTACGTAGTTGTTTAAGATGTTGACAGCCTTGTCCAGCACATGCTCTTGTTACAAGGAAAAGTATTTGTGGCTTAAATTATTATGGGAAAGCTAATAATTTATGTTGTAGAATTCACAAGTATTTGATTAATCATGTTTCATGAATTGATGATTGGTGCATCCTTGTCTTCTTTAGCAGTCTATAGTTAGATTTGAAGCAAGCAACATGTTCTTTTGCTTTAACTTATAATTTCCTTTCTTCAAGATGACTACACTTAGCTGAAAATTGACTATATCACTATATGTTAGAATGTAATCAACACATATTAGGTTGGCATACTGGCCATCTTTAAGCATAATTTTCATTATGTAAATGGAGATATTGGCAAGACAGTTTTTGTTATGTGAAAATGGTTCAGAAAAAGATATGGAAAAAACACAGTGGAAGCTTAATAGTGAAATGACAAAATTTGTCCGTTAAATATTGAACAAGTTTAGCTCTTTATGTTTATTAAAAGTGAGCACTTTTAGTCTCTGTTATATTTAAACCACATGGAGGTAGTTATCTTTGACGGAATTGGTTCGTGAGAAGCATGTGAGCCATTTAAAACGACGGAACCATTGGGATAGACTTTTCACGATTTTATTTCCCATGATGGTAAGGGTTTCAATTGCCAATGGTGTTATTGAGAGGTCGAAGGAGACATAACCATTGATTCATTCGTTGTGTTCATATAGTGGAGGGTAGAAGGAGGCAGATGGTGCATTCAATTCGCTTGATTAGTTTTTTTTAAGGTACAAATTGGGGAAATGAATTAGGAGAAGTCCGTTCGATGGTTTCTTCAATCTAATAGGTGTAGGTGCTTCTCACGAGCCAATTCCGTTTGGAGATAGAATTAGCTCTTAGATTTCTCCTTTTTCGCCTAACAAGCTATTGTTTCATTATTCATACAAAAATAACTACTATGTTTTAGTCCCAAACTAGTTGAGGTCCGCATTATGAATCCTCTATATCTATTCGACTTCATGTGCACCTGTTATATTCCAATACTTTTTTTCACAGCTTTTAAGTTAGTACTCACCTAGTACTGAAAAGCCATTTCAAATATAGTGCATGTTTTGTGTTGGTACACTACTTGTACGTTACTTCTTTTGAATTCCAGAACGTTATCATATCCTTGTTTTGAGCTTTTATACGGTAAAGAACAAGATGTTCATATTGTTGTCTTAGTCAAGAAGTGCCGACCTCTTCTAATTGATGTTGGTGTTGTTTTCTGCAGTACAAGAGTCTTTGGTGTTTCAACAGACTGTATGCAGCTTTCATTTGACTCCCGAGGAAATAGCGTCCCCACAATCCTTCTGATGATGCAAGGGAGATTGTATGCTCAAGGTGGCTTGCAGGTGTGGAAAACCAACTCCTTAATCTCCGTCATGTTGATCAATTAAATATTCGACTAGGCATCAATCCCTTATGTGCGTTATCCTAAAGGCTTCATAAGTTATACTCCTTTAGTCCCAATTTATATCACAGTGTTCGACTAGGCAAGGAGTTTAAGTAATAAAGGAAAACTTTATACTTGTGGTCTAAAATGAGCCATAGATATTTGTGTGGCTATAAATCATCTCATTAAGGGTAAAACGGCAAATGTGAAGTTGAATTGTTACTGAATATATAAAGGTGTCATTTATAAATTGGGACGGATGGAGTATAACTTCTCAATGATTAAATTTGGTTGTCAACTTGCAGGCTGAAGGGATATTCAGGATCAATGCTGAAAATGGCCAAGAAGAATTTGTCAGGGAGCAACTAAATAGGGGTATAATTCCAGATAACATTGATGTCCATTGCTTAGCAGGTCTTATTAAGGTAATATTCTGCATCTTGCTCTGAGAATATATTTCGTCGACGTTGTCTGGCAATTCTTGAGAGAGGAAATTATTAATGTGTTCTGTGGTAATTGACATAAAGTGATGATACTTGTATAGGCTTGGTTCAGAGAGTTGCCAAGGGGAGTTTTGGACTCTCTCTCGCCAGAGGAGATTATGCGCGCACAATCAGAAGATGAGTGTGTTCGGCTTGTGAGACTTCTTCCACCAACTGAAGCTGCTCTATTAGATTGGGCTATTAACTTGATGGCTGATGTTGCTCAACTGGAAAGTTTTAACAAAATGAACGCACGTAATATAGCTATGGTGTTCGCTCCAAATATGACACAGGTAGTTCAAAACTTTCATCCAGTTCAAAAGAAACACGATCAAAATCATATCGTTGCTCCTATTTCGTCTCTTAGATTAATCCTTTCTGCCTGCAGATGGCGGATCCCTTGACTGCTTTAATGTATGCGGTACAAGTTATGAACTTTCTCAAGACTCTAATACTTCGGACCTTAAAAGACCGAGAAGAATCTGTTATGGAAACTGGTCCTGCACCAGAATTGGAACCATTCGACGAAAATGGACATCATAGTTCTTTCCAACCAATCGGTCAGAAGTCTAATGAAGTTGAGGAGGAGGAAGATATCGTTTTATCCAAAGGACGACCCTCAACTGGCACTGCTAACTCTACCTTGGGAGAGATTAAAGTTGAGAATGAATCCCATGCGCTCGGTGATTGTCTCAGTGAAATCTCAAACCTGCCTAACAGCACAAAGGATGAGGTTGGAGTTGGAAATGTCAATTTAGCAAGTGGTAGAATTCAACCAAAAATCCGGAGGACTAAAAGTGTTCGTTCAAGTAGTTCTAGCCTGAGAGGATCGAAGAAAGGTAATGAATGGCCAATAGTTCATGTAGCTGGGAATGTAGAGAAAGGGAAGGGGGTCAGAATCATCGATAGGTTGAATTCAACGACAGAAAGGGTGGAAGCCTGGCGATGAATGGCTCGCCACAACGGGCATTGCTTGCTCATCAAGAAGTCAAATGGTTGTGATTTATATTTGAAGTAAAACAGTGTATAATCCAATTCTGTTGTAATGGAGTCATTTTCTGTCTGTGCTTGCATATTGGTTACTTAGTAGTTCAAACAGGAATTCTGTCACCTTTCCCTATGGGCATGTTTGGCTGGGGAACCTAGCAGGATGAATGTAATTTATGTGTTTACTTCTAAGTTGAATACTGCTGTGGTTTTATTTTTCAATATGATCTTCCTTTTGACATAAAGAAATGACCACTCTATAGTGGAAACTTACTTATGTGATTGCAATAGTAGTTTCCGGTTGCTACTGGTAGAGGCGTATCTACGATTTGAACTTTATGGCATTCATTTGACTTACTGAGTTCGAAGTCAATTATTTGTATTTCGTTATTAAATTTTCTTAACACATACCGTGCCAAAATTACTAGATTCATATGAATTCATACCACACATATCTACTGACTCTGTATCCAACCTTGCTTAGTGGATGTGGATGGTCCGAATTACTAGATTCATATGAATTCATACCACACATACCTACTGACTCTGTATCCAACCTTGCTTAGTGGATGTGGATGGTCCGAACTCCTGATATACTTCATTATGCACTAATAATTTCTACATACACGATACACCTAGTAGTTGCATAATAGAAAATTTCAAGTTTGATTTTGCAACAGAGTTGAGTTTAATTATAAAGTATAAAATGATGCCAAGATTGGTAGCTTAAGTGGTGAAGTTTTTTTTTTTTTTTGCATTTTTTGCATTTTTAAAAAAAATTAACTTTACCAATAAATTTGTAAACGATTAATGAAAAAATGTTTTAAAAACTTTTGAGAAAATTTGAAAGAAAAAGAAAATTCAACCAACTTTCCAACCAAAACGCCAAAAACAATTCTTCATGGGAGTAAGGTATCACACCTTACAAACTTTAGGGGCTGAAATACAACATTTGAAAAAAATAATATTTATCCGGTTCGCCTTCTTGAAGAAAAGCCGAATTTTCTTCTAAACCTTTCAAAAACTTTTTGATTCATTGAATTGGTATGTATATGGGATTTCATTTTTAGCTCGTTGAAATTGCTACATCTACATCAGTATATGTATATCTATATATGTTCATTTAAAAGACTCATTTTTGCACTTTTTTATTTGCAGAAAATGAGGATTCAATGTTGTATTCATGGGAAAAATTTCTGTTCTTTACCCCCTTTAACTCCTATTACACTCCCCTCTGCAAAGTAAGGTTCGATTCTTTAATTTTCTCTATATTATATACATCGTCAGTGTAATGAATTTAACGTGTAATAACATGTTGCTCGTCATTTATTTTATGTTACCAATTACTGCTATTAAATAGAGTTACCTATGATTATCTTTTAAGTGACATGTAAGTATACAGAACTTAAAGTCGTTGTTTAATTTTTATACAAAGTAAGAATGAATTTTTTGTTTTTTTTTTTTAAATTCTTTTGCTTAATGTCTTGATTCTTAGGGAGATACATTTATGGTATGTGATACCCAATGAGGTTAAGGATGAATCCCTTATGAACAAGTATATGGAAATTCTATCCCCATGTGAGATTGAAAAAGTTTTGAGCTTTCAAAGAGATGACCTGAGGAAAAGTGCTTTGCTTGCTCGTGCGCTTGTCAGAACCACCATTGCCAGATGTAAGATGTTATGTTGAGTTTTTTGTGTTGAATTGAATTTGCCCGTTCATGTTCAGTTGCTTAACAAGAATTGAACCGATCCAGGATTTAGATTCTATGGGGTTCTGGTTTTAGTATTAAACCCATTGTATTTTTAAAGTTATGGGTTTTGACCTATCATTTTAATGACGGGGTTCAAACTCTACACCTGCCCCTAAGTACTTGCAAGAAGTTAATTGATAGTATGAATTGTTAGAATGTTGTGTGCATCACACCTATTTTCTCCATACTTTCAATCTGCAGTTGTTTTAGTTATGTTCTTTTTATTCGCAGTGCACGCAAATAATGTGGTCGTTTAGTGTAACCGGATCAAACTATAGATGATGGGAGAGTGAACATTGTTTCGCATTTTAGTTCATGTTGTTGCAATTTATACATATCTGGTTAAAGGATGTATAATTTGGTTGGGATAGAGATTCAGCCGGCCTTCCACAAATGTAGTTATTCAGTTGTTCTTATGGCTGCTATCTGTTTCTTTGTGATTAATTTTGAAGTGTAAATGTAAATGTGTTTGTTAGCTGCTAATCTAGAATTCAAAGAAATTGTAATGTCTTTCCATTTCATTGCACTTGGATTCCATCGTTGTTAGATTTAGTATTAGTTGATATTCCTTTCGCTTCAGTTTCTTACTATCTTGTTGTTGTTACTGCTTGGTGTTACTACTTGTCTTTTCGTGAGCCAAGGGGATTATACTGGGTTTTTTTTTTTGTTGTTGTTGTTGTTGTTGTTTTCCATTTCATTGCAATATCAAAACTCGGCTTAATTCTCTATAATAATTTGCTCGATCGTATGGCTGAAGGCATTGGTTTTTGCTAGATCAGATAAATTCTTCAGTGACACCCAAATCCGTCAAGTTTAAGAATAATGTTCATGGGAAACCAGAGGTTTGTCTTTCTATCGGTTTGCTCACGTTTTCCTTCTGGTGTGTTCACAGTTGTGTATAATTAACTTTATATGGATATATCAATAGGTAGATTGGCCGCGCAGTTACAATTGGGAGCCCCCTCCTTTGCGTTTCAACATCTCACATACTTCATCTCTGATAGCCTGTGGCGTGACAATAAATTCTCCTGTAAACATTCTTGCTCTCAAGCCAGTTTGTGTGTAAATTCAGTTAAGTGGTAAATCACTTATTTTATCTATAGATTGGTGTAGATGTGGAGGAAAAGCAAAGAACTACAAAGCATAATATTTTGACTTTAGCTAGAAGATACTTCTCCGAACATGAGCTTAAAGTGTTGACCGCTATTAGAGATCCCTATATCCAGCACCAGGAGTTTATAAAGTTATGGACGTTAAAGGTAAGTCTACTTTGAGGTCTTGATATTATTTTCAAATTTGTGATGATATCGACATGTTTAAAGACGGGAGTTCTCAAAATGAGGCAAGTTATTTTTCAAAACTTCCATTGTAATCCTTTCCAAGGTGAGACAGGATATGAGAAACTGCTCGCCCAAATGTCTTTCGATGGGGTGCTCGAGAGCACTTCTCTGACATACACTAAAAACAGATAATTTGAATGACTCAGAATAATCTTTGGTAGTATTCTACTATTTTATAACGAAAGAAGGTTGAGGACCTTAGGCTATAAGAAGATCTGAAGGAGTTCCTAAAGGAACAGACTTTCTTAAGATGGAAGTATAAGCTCTACTTAAGTAAGTGTTAATTGCGAGGGAAGGCATTGAAAATAAGCAAGCTTACTGTAGAACTTGTACTGATCCATTCTTGGGCTTTTATGCCTCATAACTGATCCATATTCTTGAACATGTTGTCTTCACTGCTTTATCAACCAAGAACAAAGTGGTTTCAGATTCTTGTATGCTAGGTAAATGTGAAGCAAGGGATCAATATTTCCTCGTAGTTATTTATTGTGTTGAGTTCTCTGAGGAAATATATTGCTTGCAGGAGGCATATGTCAAAGCACTTGGGAAGGGTTTCTCCGGTGCACCATTCAAGACGTTTACCATTCGTCTTGGGAGTGTTATTCGAGAATCCTTTCATCAGTCTCAGAATTCAAGTGCTGAGGTATGCCACCACAGATACTTTTATTCAACTTTGACCACTAATTCAGAGGGGCTTATGTTGTGTTGGTGCAATATTGATGATAAACGTCATGCTATGTCAAATTGTAATGGGTTCAATCAGCGTGATAGAGTTCTTTCTATGGGTTTAGCCATGATTTTCGGAAAAAGTGGTCGAGCTGGACCGTTTGAGAGAATTAAATGTGTGAAATCAGCAAATATTTATTCTCTAGAAACATCCAAGATGCACTCTTTAGCGTTGTCCAGACAGAGCAATTTCCTCTAACTGCTTCTTTTTTCCTGAGTATCACTCCGTTTCAACCCCTTTCAACTTCTCGAAGGGGAGCCTTGGCGTAACAGGTAAAGTTGCTGCCACGTGACTAGGAGGTCACGTGGAAACAACTTCTTGCAGAAATGCTGGGTAAGGCTGCATACAATAGACCCTTGTGGTTTGGCCCTTTTCCGGACCCCGCGCATAGCAGGAGCTTAGTGCACCGGGCTGCCCTTTAAACCCTTTTAACTTCTTAAACAAGTGTCTGCTCCCCCTTCTCTGCTGGAGCAAGTACTAGCTAACTTATACTCGTAGAAGATAGCATACTTTTATCTCAAGGTACATTGGAAGCTTTTGTTTATATGCATACTTTTCTTTCAGGCATGTGAAATAGTAGTGGATTCTCTTGACAATGCGAAGGACCTTATCAGTAACTGGCAGTTTATGCTTCTGGAGTTGGCTGGTTCTCATTATGCTGCCATTTGCACAGAAAAGGATATCAAAATGAAAGGTTAGGAAAATTCTCTTTCTCCATGAATTGAGAATGTCGGCAAAGAAGAGTTCTAACCATGTTTTGATTACTACAGGTGATTGGGATAATCCTATGAAGTTGACAGTTTGGAAGACAATTCCATTTGTTGAAGACAGATTTGTTTCTGGAACAGAGGCAGTGCTTACAATTTGCGGCTTGAGATAATGACTGTTACAATGGTCATGGTGTTGACTCTGAGAATGTAACATTAGAATCATTAGAGTGGAGTTCATGCTTCAGAGTAGCAGTTCAGCAGGTCTTTCTTTGAAAAGGGTAATTTGGCAACTTTTATGAAGAGAGGTCTTCTTACAATCCAAACCTGTAACAAAGCTGTTAACATAGTACATTTCTACTAGCATAGTTTCTGGCTGGCATTGGCTATTTTAGCAGAAAAACATGTGTTGGACTGGGTAAGTTTACTGGATCCAAAAATTTATGCTGGAGAAACAGATTGTAAAAGTGCAAGAATTCTCATTATTCACCATTCTTGTTTGTGAAATGGCCAGTTCAGTTCAGGGGCGAAGCCACCTTTTGCTAAAGGTGTTCAATTGACCACCCTTTCGTCGAAAAATTATAAAAAAAATTACACCGTGTATATAAATAAAATATTAAATTTTAGATGTATATAACATATATTGAACACCCTTTGTTGGAAATTTTTTTACTTCTTTCAAGTCGGAACACCCTTAGGGAAATTTTTGGCTTCGCCACTGGTTCAGTTTTCTTTTGTGGCTAGCAGTCTTCTGTAATATCGTATGCTGGGAGTTGCACTACTATACTTTCAGTTTGTTATTGATTTTACGCGTTGTTACTTTGTTCTGCTACATATTTTTTTCTTGAGACGAAAGTGAATCAAAAACCATTTAACTGGAGGAAATATCTCTCTCTCTCCTGGCTTTCTGGAGAGTCATTCAGTAGCAGGAATGCTATGCAGCAGCATTCAAGAGTCTTGTACACATTTATAAGGGTATAACTGAAAGTAAGGCACTAGCATTGCAAAAAAGAGAACAGAACACGAACATATATCAAAGATTCTCTAATCATATTACATTACAGAGAGATTAGAAGACTCTTCAAACTCATGATACATATGGCACCACTTGCAACTTGCAAATCCTGTTCCATTTCTCAAGGTCGACTTGAATTGTGCACTGCTCACTTTGATCACGATCGGTCAGTCTCCCTTAGACTTCGCTTTCCAGTAAAACACATGAATTTCATGATCAATGAACATTTTGTAGAATGATGTAACTAATACAGTTCTTTTATCAATGGCTATCCGAAACACTGCTTTTCAATAGGAGGTGAAATAGAGACTAAGGAGGAGAGATCTTGAATGTGATCAAGCATTTTATATTATCCTTTCAGTTTTCCAACAGTATCTATTCTCAGCCGTATCTGTCCAAGTAAATATTCAGGTAAAGGAATGTGAACATGTGCAATCTTAATGGATGTAATCTTTACTGATTAAGCTCCAAACTTGTAAAAGTCAATATGCTTGCCGCTGATGTCAAACTTGTGCTCAAGGAAGCTAGAAATGCCTAACGTCCAAAAGCATTTCTTCTCAAAAGCTGGTCCCTTGTTTGCCCTTATTTTCTTGTGATGTGAACTTTTGAAACAGGATAGAGTCAATCAACTACGAGGCTTGTATTAATGATGACAGTAGCTCACTTTCCTGCTAAGGGCCAGCAGCAAAGAACCAACCTATTTCCACTTTCATCTGTAATGACAATTCATATCTTATGATCACTCAACTGTTCAACTTTTCAACTTTTGATGAACGCATGCACTTTCTTATATATGGGCAACATAGGTCAACTCGGAAGAGGTTAAACCTTTGACAATTATTATGATCCCTTGCATGGAGCTTGTAAGTTGGATTCTTGATGAACGCAAAGTTGCAGCATACTGCCACTGGCTTCAAGGTTTAGAGAGCATACTTCATTGTATTCCGTCTCTGTAATGAGCTTCACTGCTAAGTCCTTGTTAGCGTTTCTCCAGTCTCACAGGTCACCAGTAATCAGTGGCTTCAAGGTTTAGAGAGCATACTTCATTGTATTCCGTCTCTGTAATGAGCTTCACTGCTAAGTCCTTGTTAGCGTTTCTCCAGTCTCACAGGTCACCAGTAATCATTACAAGAACATGTACCATTTCTAAAATGGTGGAAACGAGTGGCATCTCTGACCACAAATAAACGATCCACAATTTTGCTAACCCGCTTCACAAACGAGTGGCAGTCACCGCATATTCTCAAGTTCTTTATAACAAGAATGTCAGTCCCTATTTCAGTGTTTAAGAGAGCAAATGCAATTGCCAAACGTTCACTATGCACACCCATAATATTAGGAGGTTCTTGATTTATTACCTCTTGACCATTTTTGTTTGCTCCTCCAAGCTCACTTACGGTATCCTCCAATCTATTTAACATTTTGTATATCTCCTCTGTTTGAGGATGACCTATATCGCCAGCCACGAAGAGGTGGGTTTTCCCTCTATACTCAAAATAGCTATAACCTGGATCCTTTTTAAGCTTCCGTTCTCTCATCATCAATCTGACTCTTAATATACCTTCTGAATTATTTGACTCTGTATAGATATTGGAAAGTAGCACGTAATAGCCGATGTTTGTGGGCTCAAGCTCAACAACCTTGTTAAAAGCTATTTCTGCAAGTTCAACATTTTTGTGGATCTTACAAGCACCCAAAAGGGCACCCCATACAGCACCATCAGGTTCAACTTCCATCGATTCAATAAGTTTCCGAGCTTCCTCAAGTCGACCAGCACGACCTAATAGATCCACAACACAAGAGTAGTGCTCTGAACCTGGCTTCAACCCATACTCCCTCTTCATTATATCTAAATAATATAAGCCCTTTTTAGTCAACCCTGCATGACTACATGCAGACAGAACACTAACGAACAATGTTCCATCAGGTTGAATGCCAGTCTTGATCAGCTTATCAAAAAGCTCAACAGCAGAGTTTCCAAGACCATGCATTCCATACCCGCCTATTATTGCTGTCCAGGACACCAAGGTTTTCTCTGGCATCTCGTCAAATATAATCCGAGCTTTCTCCAAATTACCACATCTAGCATACATATTTATTAGAGCATTCCTCAAGAATACATTAAACCTCATACCACTGGACCTAATATTTTGTTCCACCTCATAACCAATCTTTTGAGCACCAAGATTAGCACAAGCTGAGAGAACCCCAACAAGTGTAACCGCATCAGGATCCACTTGCAACAATTCCATCTCACGATAAAGCTCCAAAACTTCAGCAGCCAACCCATTCTGCGCATAACCAGATATCATTGCATTCCAAGTGATCAACCCCTTTTCTGGTATGTGATCAAACAACCTCCTCGCTAACTCCATGGAACCACAACGCACATACATTGTAATCAAGCAGTTTGCAATAGCTAAATCATTCTCCAATCCACACTTAACGTTCAAACAATGCAAGCACATTCCCAACCACAGATGCCCCGGAACAGTACAACCCGGAACCAATCCTAAAATCGTAACCGCATTGAATTCCACTCCTCTCAGCCTCATTTCACTAAACAAATAAAACCCATTTAAGAACTTATCATTCTGAACGTACCCAGAAATCAAAGAATTGTAACAAACAGTAAGATTTCTTTGAGGAACTTCATCAAACACCTTCTGTGCATGTACAGTTAACTTACATTTACAGTACATAGACATCAAAGCAGTTAAAACAAAAGGCTCAGATTTGCACCCGAGCTTAATAACATGGCAATGGAGTTGTTTTCCAGTGGCGGGAAGGGAAAGAGAAGCTGAAGATTTGAGAATAAAAGGGAAAGTGAAGGCATTTGGGGTAGCTCCAAATTGGAGCATTTGACGGTAAAGAATAAGTGCATTGTAGTATTGACCATGTTTTGAGAGATCTCTCAACTGTGTATTCCATGGGGTAGTAGTAGTAATAGTAGTAGTGAAGCTTGCGGATTTGGTGATAATGGTGGCTTTGTTATGGAAACGTGACAAGAATATGGTATTTTTGTAGAGAGGTAAGAGGTGACTGGTCATTACTTGGACAAAAGGGTGATTGATCGGTTTTATGCAATTTATAGTAGCTTGATCATCTTGCTAGCAATTACTAGTAATCTTTGTTTTTTTTAGAGTTGTGGTGGAGCTTTAAATACTCTTTCATACTTAATCAGAGGTTTCGTGTTCGAGCTAGGGGTATGGAGCCGTCTTTGATAGGGAGCGTTTTACCCCCAATGTGGGACTTTCCGGAGCTAACCCAAATTTAGTAGGGCCCGATACGGTACCGGATTTAAAGCAATGGTAAAATTGTATTCGTGTGACATATAGTTGATCACGCCCAACTATGCCTTATAAAAAGGACTAAGCAGTCGTTGCAAATATAATACGGTTTACAAGTCCGGAGTCGAATCTTACAGAGAACTAAGGTTTAGCTACAGTTGTTCAATATCGCTAAGAAACACAAGTCCAAACAATTTCCTAATTATAAAGATTATAACATTTATTTTTTATCTAATTAACTAGTAACAAATACTAGAAAGCAATAACACTATCAATTAACAAGGATAAGGATTGGAGACAAGATTACGGAGGTCTAGAGTTATGATTACCCCTATTGTCGGAATCCTTTCTGCTACGTTATCTATAAATTTGTCTAAGTCTTCTCTACCGATCATGAGCGCTCTGAGTGTTGTAATTCTCTCCCGAGTAACTACCACAATTTATTAGACATATTCTCCCGAATTACGCTAGCTGGCATTAAGTACGGCTCACTCGGATCGCACTAAGGTTTCATTATCCTTAATCCCACATTTAAACCCTCCGTATTGATCCTTCGTATACGTTAGGTGTGACGTTGTTCAACAAATACCTAAATATGCGCTCTCTCTCGAGTAATACACACTAAATAGGCACGGTCGATTGAAAGCTCTTCAACCAACCACAATAATAACGTAGTTAAACAAATAGAGAACATACTACGGCAAAACTATATTAACGTAACAGGAAAATCATCCTCGAATAGGTTCTATCAAAACCCTAGATAACAAATTAGCTACTCATAATAGTATGCATAATTACAATACTAATATTCATAACTAATAATGGAAATAGGAAGAAGGAAGTGAAAAACTCGTAGAAGAATTCTCCGTCTTGCTCTTAGTATGTTCTTGCCTCCTTAGGTCGAATCCCCGGTCTTCACGGCGGCTCTGTGCTCTCCCTAGGTCTAAAGTCTCCTCTCAAAGTGGCATTTTTTAGGTCTATTTATATGTGTAGGAAAAACCTAAACGTGTAGGTCAAGTCCTAGTCAAACCAGGAGACGAAATAAATCTTCAAAACTCGGAATATATCTCACCCCAGGCCTGGCGTCGCTAGGCATAACGCCTGGTGGAGCTGGCCTTTTGTCACGTCCCGAACCTGGGCCTGGACGTAACACGGCACTCGGTGCCTGACTACATGTGACCGAGCGAACCAACTAGCTGGCTAAATCAACATGTGGTATCATAACATACTGAATGCGGAAGATAAACTAACACATACTGATCTACTGAAAGTCTAGATGATATAAATTAAAGTGCGAAAATACTAATACAATTCTGAAACATATTTGTAGCCAACCTAACTTAATATGAAAAGCCAGCGACTCTGTCTAACGGTTACTCTAGTCTATGAAGCCTCTAATGAAGTACTGAAAACAGTGACTGTCTGAAAATACTGATGACTATAGTAATGATAATGCCCCGAAAGAACTGAGGATCACCAAAAAGCTGGTACGAGAATCCTAGCGCTCTGAATCATCAACCTGCTGCATCGTGAGATGCAGGCCCCGGGAAAAAGGGATGTCAGTACATTTGAATTGCACTAGTATGTAAAGCCACTGAAAGAAAGTATTTGCAAATGCTGAAACTGAAACTAAGCTGATAATTGATAACTGAAATGATAACTATTGAAACTGAAACTGAAATGATAACTGATAATTGATAACTGAAATGATAACTAATAATTGAACTGAACAAAGGAACTAAGGATTTGAATACTCCCTCTTCTGAATGATGAACAACCTATTTATCTGAACAAGCTACGGCCTCTGGCCCAATATATATATGTGCACAAGCTACGGCCTCAGGCCCAAGTATACGTATACATAACTACGGCTTCAGGCCCAAAAATACATAAAGCATAAACTACGGCCTCAGGCCCAAATACAGGTGTTCAACATTCAGGAACTGAGAATCATACTAAAATACATGATGCTGAAATACTGAACCATACTGAGTTACATGATACTTGAATGCTTAGACTGAGACATGTACTCATGAACTGATTATGAAAATTGAAACTTCAACTATTTATGACATGCTGAGTAATCTAGACTGAGACTCATGGGCATCAAACCCAAGTCTATATTGATTACGCACTGATTTCACAACGTTCAGAATGAAAGTCATGAACGATTTACGAAGCTAGAGAATAGAAGTTCTGCAACTATTCAAGGAACTAGGCTTAACTATATTTCTGAAGCAATTGTTAACGTCGTAGAAGAAACGTAGTGTAGGGAGAATCATTAAAATTTCCAAACATAGAGAGTTAGCCTCACATACCTTAACTTCCTGCTCTTGAGCATAATACAACATTTGTCAATCCTTTCAACTTTAATCTAAATCAATACAAGTCAAAGGGATTCCATATTAGCAGTTCTCATATTTTGGTCACTTAAGCATCTTATCAAACACTTGGTGAAAATAAAGTTTCATAGTCCTTATTAATGGTGTCTCTGCATCCAATAACATATTCTCTTGTTCCTAGATAAATTTTAAAGTCTTAAATGGTTATAATCAACATTATTCTTTATCACCCATAAGGTAAACAACACCCTTAACCAATAATCAACAATCAACACCCCAAACCTATAATTATTCATGATTTTCTATCAAACCCATCAACTCATATCTCATGAACTGGGGTTTATAATCATTAAACCAATGCTAGAATCAATTAGAGGGTGAAGACATTACCTCTTTGAAGTTCAATCCCGTTGAATTCGAGTTCTAGGGTTCCTTCTCTCAACAATGATGTCTCAATCGAATATCTAATGATATGGAGGGTTTACCCATGTTAATAAGATGTTGGAAAATTAAAATTAATTTAGAATCACCATTAGAACTTACCTTGGGTGGTGGAGGGACCCTTAAGGAGTTAGGTTTTTGAGAGCTTTCCTTTCTAGAGCAAGTTTTTATGTTTTGGGACCGTGGGAGACGAAATAGGGCTTAAAAAATGACTCCCCAAGTCCGCCACCGCGCCCCCTGTAGGCCTGACCGCGGCCCGACCGTGGTAAATAGCAGGAACACTGCCTCACGACCGCGGTCGCGGTGGTTGCGCACTGTTATGTAAAACGGGCATAACATTTTGCACAAAGCTCCATTTGGGCTCCACAATATATCGTTGGAAAGATATTTCAATGGCCTAAAACTTTCATACTTTGAGTTTTCAAAATTCCTTACACATTTTCAGTAAACCCTGATGGAAAACGGACCTTCTGCAAACTTAGTCGATTTTGTCGAATCTTATGCACCTTACTTTCCATCTTGATTCTAAAACAACTATTTTCACCAATAATCATCCCTCTAGGACTTCATATGTCTAAAATATCAAATTAATACCCAGTTAACATATCCACACCTAGTCCGAATGTACGGGGTGTTACACCTTTGCCTGGCCTCGCCAGGTCTAACGCCTGGTTAAGCTGGCCTTTGCCTGGTCTCGCCAAGTATAAAGCCTACTTAAGGCCTGGCGTCGCCAGCTTTCTCCTTTTCACTATTCTCGAGCATGCTTTCAACGTTTAAGTATCCTTTTGCTCTACTTTCATCTTCAATTCACCTACACATAAAATAGACTCCATTACGCGCAAATAAAGTATAATTTATCATTAAAGCATATAAAATGCAAGGCAAATAATGTACGAAACTATGAAATTATAGCCACACATCAATAGTTTACGAGTTCATAAACTATTGTGTTTAACGTTTAGGACCCTTTCTTATGGCTTATTTGGCATAACACATGGCGATTGTATAGCAGACAAGCCTTTTAAATTTAGTCTTCACGCGCTTGGAATAGGTGTAGTCACGGTCGGGTTTAATTGAGCATATAATGTTAAAAAAATTCTGGTCAAAATAGGTTTAGGGGGGTAATAGGACTCCGAAAAGAAAATGTGTATAGTTGATAATATGGTCATAGGTTGGGAAGGATTTTATGTATTATCCCTTATAACTAAGTATATTAAAATATAACATCATTAAAAGATAGATTAGACTTATAAACAAAGTTTTTACATATTTATTTTCATGAAATTTAAAAAAAAGAAGAAGATAAATATAAGTGTTTGAGCAATGAAAAACATAATTGATGGAGTAGGATACTAGGATAGTCCGCGATGCACACAGCACTGCAACTAATAGATAGAGCAATAGATAACACCTTTATTATTCTAATGGATAAACCAACAGTCTGAGAGTAAAGAATAATAAAAGGAAGCTTCAGTTTTCAATCCTCAATTTCTCAATGGAAGCCACTGCTTCTTTCACCTCTACTATGTCTTCCCACCATTTCTTTCCACTTTCTAAAGCCACCCTCTCAACTTCCAAACTTCCATTTTCTTGGACTGGTTCAACTCATTCTCTTTCATTTTCTTCAAGAAACTCATTTACTGTAACACCCTTTTCAGTTTTGTTACTTTTCTCTTTATTAATTGTTGCAGTTTTTTCTTTTTTTAATAAAAAAGATTCAATTTTTTTTGGTGTAGAGGGATACATGGAGGGTGATCAATTCAAGGAATGTGGTTATTTCAAGAAGAGAAATGCGTGGAGTTATTAGAGCTGAGATGTTTGGACAGCTTACTAGTGGACTTGAATCTGCTTGGAATAAGCTCAAAGGAGAAGGTAAATGACAAAAAAAAAAAAAAAAAAAAAATTAAGTGCATCTACATGATGAATTGGTTGGCTTTTCCCTTGTTTATGTTCAAAGAAACCATTTTTATGGTAAGAAATACTATTCTGTAATGTATGCTATGATTTGGTGAAACATGGTAAATAAACT